ACATTTTTTAAAATTCAAAGTGCAACATGCAAGCATCAAAAACTGTAATATTGTGTATATATATGTATAGTGTGTATTGTGTAATATTGTGTGTAAGTTGTATATGTCGTGAAAGAATACTTTTAGCATGACCTGTGCTTTTTCAGGTGGAAGTTTTTTACAGACTCTTCTTTGCAGACTGTCTGTTTATGCATATGTGGTGTAATAAGTGTGGCGGATCAGGTGACCCTGAATCCTTCCTTAGTTATGTTACAATAGGCGTAGGCTGCTGGGGGCTTCCCATTATGCACTGGGTGTTTCTCCTTCACTCACCTCTGTTAAAAGGGAGTTTTTCCTTCCCACTGGTGACAAGTGCTTGCTCATAGGGTGTCATCTGATTGTTGGAGATTTCTCTGTATCATTATAGGTTCTTTACCTTACAATAATACAGTGCCTTGAGGCAACTACTGTTGTGAATTGGCGTTATATAGATAAACCTGAACTGAACAGAATCACAATCACAGCACGGCATACTTCTGTATGATCTAATCTAGTACCAGTCTTTAAAGGAACTAAGCTAGAAAACTTCATGTCACATTGAACTTGTTCAGGTTTCTTTCATGCCAACAGATTCAAAAGACATAAACACAGATACACAAAGTTGTACACACACATCCAAATGCTCACGCTCACAGCTCGTTAGCGTCTGATTGGCAGTAAAACATCCGGAGAGGTAATTGGCACATTTCTTGTCATTAACGAAAGGAAATTGCCACATGTCAGCTGCCATAAAGAAAAAGCCTGTCTGGCTGAAGACAGCCAAGTGACACACAGTGAGAGAGTGAGCGAGAGAGGGAAAGTGAGTGTGGGGTGGGGGGGCACGTAGAACTAGGAATGGAGGGGGACAGGTAAATGAGAGATGGTAAGACAAAGAGGAGAAAGACAGATGAGTGAGAAGGAGAGCAGGTGCACATCCAGGAGGGCAGTCACTAGTGTTCCAAAATATATCTAATACATCATCACCGAGAGGCAAGGACGGACAAGAAAGAAGAAAGATGGACGATTGGGGGGGAAAATGTTACAAACAAGTGACTTTTGCTTGAAGAAAGGAAGATTTAAGATGAATGAGAAGGGACAAAGTCTAAAGCACGAGGTGAACAAAGAAAAATCACATCGATATTCACAGATTAACATACTGAATTGTATTTACACAAATAATACGGATCGATTAAGAAAATTAAAGACATTGAAGCCAATAAAAGTCCATTGACTTCTTGTGCACGGACTAGACTAAATTATTTCAGAGGTGGGATCATCTGACGTTTGCAAATCTCGTGCAAATATAAAATGCTGGGTTATTCCATTGGAAAGACAAATTTGTTCATGAAATGTAGCTTGTAGAAATTTGCATGGAACAAATGAAATGGTGAATTGGTCAGTTTTTGATTAATTTAATGTATTTTTTAGCCTTTACTTAAGACGGATAGAGGAGAGAAGATGGTAAAGCAGGCCAAGGGCATGCAGTTAATGGCCTTGGAGCAGATTTGAACCAAGGCCTCTGCAACTGCCT